GCTCTAATTTCATCTCATTCTTGGCTTGATCCTTTGGACCTTCCAGGTCACAGACTATCACGAGCTGGGATGGCAATAAAAATGGATGTTTCTTGTAATGGACTTCAAAGCACCTGACAAAGATCACTACAAAGACAGTGCCTTGTTCTAAAATAGTTGATTGAACTGGCTTGCAAGTTACTGGTTCTAGTGTAGAGGCCTTTGCTCCTTGGATGTCAGAGGAGAAGGTCATCTTGGCCCTTTATGTCTGTGGGTGGCAGTTACCTGACCACTGCCAGCCCAGTGCTCCCAAAAATGCTCTGACATGGGCCACAGGAGGTCAGGGTTCCCTCCCACAGCCTTGTCTGTAAATTCTGACAAAGCCTGCTGAGAAAGTCAGCCTGTGGTGCAGGAGCCACCTCTGACTCCTGTCAGTCAAACTTTGGCAGCTGTGCTCTCTGGGTTTTTTTTTTCTGGGGGTTTTGTGAATGGGTTTTCACCCCTTCACATTCCATTCTATACTCACTTTCTCATCTGCACCTTTCAAGGCACTACAGAATCTCTCAACTCTCAGAAACCATCTCTCCAGCACACTTAACCTGGAGTTGGACTCCAGCCATCAGCTCTTCACTGAAAGGTTTCCAGCCCCTCAGCTCTCAGTTGCCCAACACTTCCTCCAGGCTTGTGGGACGTTTCTGTGTAACCCAGACTGTCAGTCCCTGCCCAGCACAGACTATTATTACACTGCCTGCATCATCCCTTTGCGTGGCTCACTGGAGACAAATCAAATAACCGGGTACTGCAACTTAAATTAGAAAGAATAGACCACAGGAACAACTGCAGCGGTAGCAGGAGTGGCTATAAATAAAGGAAAATGTTTCTCTTAGAAACCTTTGTGCCACAGAGGGAAACTGTAGCAGTGGTCCAGGATATTTTTGTTGCTGCTTTTTAATTTGAAATTTCATCTCTGGAAGCACTTACAGACGTAGAGGGTTGTGCAATGTTTTCGCTTGCAGTACAGCGATTGCTAAGATTAGCACAGTAACAGATCTTTTCAGAGTAAATTGCATATAATTAATAGGAAGCAGGAGGAAAAAAAAGAATAATTGTATTTAATCCAAATGCTAGTTAGTTGTCCCAGAAGGTGGAACCAGCACTAAGGCCATGCTGAAGAGGGGCCCGTTCTGTTCAGCTGAGTAATAAACAACAATTATGTTCCCATATTGCAAATTCTGGTTTCCAATTTGTTTTACCAAAGTGCAGGGATATTCAAGATGGAATTTCCTTCAGGTCCTTCCTAGCAACAGTGGAGATTATTGCTTTATGCTTCTGGCTTGTCTCCCATCCAATGTCAAAGTTACAGGCATTAAGACAGCATTTCCCTGTGAAGGAGCTGCATAAAATCTGTACAACACAACTTACATTTTGGTCTCTGAGGCAGGACTTCATCAGGAATCCAAACCTGGCTCCAGTTCATCATTCCTGAAGAGAGGCCTCAATGTCTCATGGAAGGAAAGAGCAATTCTTCTCTAGGTGGGCACACAGAGATTCAGCACCAGGACGAAAGCTCTTACACTCCAGACAGGGTTTCTGTGTCTTAAAAATCCTGTGACACCTCACAAGAGGTGATCCCATCTCTCATTTCAACATGAGTAATTACAGCCTTCTCCCTGACCACTTTTGGAATTCATGGTTAATAGGGGACCTAGGTGGGCAGTAGGTTGAGGGAGGTGATCCTCCCTCTCTACTCAGCCCTTGTGAGACCCCCCTGGAGCACTGCATCCAGCTCTGGAGCCTCCAGCACAAAAAAGACATTGACCTGTTGGAGCGAGTCCAGAGAAGGTCACAAAAATGCTCAGAGGGATGGAGCACCTCTGCTATGGAGACAGGCTGGGAGAGCTGGGAGTGTTCAGCCTGGAGAAGAGATGGTTCTGGGGAGACCTTAGAGTACCTTACAGGACATAAAGGAAGTTTATAAAAGAGAGAGAGACTTTTTTACAAGGGCACATAGTGATAGGACAAGGGGGAATGGTTTAAAATGAAAAGAGGAGAGATTTATATCAGATGTTAAGGAGAAATTCTTTACTGTGAGGGTGGTGAGGCCCTGGCACAGGTTGCCCAGAGAAGCTGTGGCTGCCCCATCCCTGGAAGTGTTCAAGGCCAGGTTGGATGTGGCCCTGAACAAGCTGGTCTAATGGAAGGTGTACCCGCCCATGGCAGGAAGGATGGAACCAGATGGTCTTGAGGTCCCTTCCAAGCCAAACCATTCCATGATTCTATGACCTGTGCTGAAGCCTCATTGCATTGATGAGCTTCCATCTTCCATCTCACTGAAGCACTTGAATTTCCCAGTGGATCATAAGGATAAGGAGGGACAAGTCCACACACCTGCTTTACTCGACGTGTTTCTGAGCTCTTCACACCCCCCACACAGACATTCCCTCCTGAAGCCCTTACAGCATCCCAATATTGCCAGATGCACAGCTCAATAAAAGTACCAAAATAAATCATTGCAGCCAAGGTTTCACTTAGCTGCTGTTATTAATCATTAGCAATAGCTATTGCTAATTAATGTCATTACACATCATGACTATTAATCACAATCTGCTGATGCAAGACATATTGTGTCTTGTAGATAAGAAAGAGGAAAAAAGCAAGTGAGCAATAATCAAACTTGAAAATGATGATGGGCAGTGCTGGCAAATTCATGTTGCAAACTCCATGTTAAAATACATGAGACAACATCCCTGCCTTGGTGGCTGCATCTCAGCTGTGCTTGAGCAACACCACTTGTCACAAAACCACCAAAACTAGGCGTAGAGCTTTAATGCATTATTTAGTATATGACATCTTTTGATGATACAAGCTCTTAAACCATGTGGGAATGAGATTTCAATTAAACTTTCTTTTCCATAGCACTATACTGGTCCCCACCCCCTCTCCAAGAACACCCCCATGTTGCCATCTGTACATCAGGGTTCTTCAAACAGGGTTAAACTGTTCAGTTCCAACACAAGCTGTTGGGCTGTATGCAAAAATCACCCAGGAAATGCCCATGACCTTTGCCAGGTAGAAGGTGCAATTAGCTGACCCTAAAGATCAGCTGGGCCATGAAGTCTACAGAATGCTACGGTGCAGCAAACCATAAAGTGCTGGGTCATTAGGATGTGTTTGTCATTAGGATTTACTCATTAATCACTTTTTTTTCATCACAAGGGAGGAAAGGGAGATTTTCTTCTTTTTATATTTTAACCTCAGGTAGAAATTTAAATGCAAGACTGGAATCAATTCTGTAGCTCACAAGATTGATTTGCCCAGACCAGAATTTGCAATATTTCCCCTTAAGCAGGCAGTGAGAGCTGCAAGCACTCCAGTATTCCTGTTTTCCCTGTGGCACAGGAGAGAGCTCACACAGAGCCTCCAGCTACCTGCCCTCACACTGATGGACATGGACATTGCCTGCTCAGGGGTGAAATCTCTAGGCAGGAAGCTCTTGGCAGTGTTTATACAGAAATTCTCTGCAATAGGAATCTCACAAAGGCATGGTGCAAAGAACAGGGCGTATCTGCTGGCTTTGGGTCTGCAGACTCCAGGACAAAGGGGTGCCAAGGACAGCTGTACAGAGGAGAAGGTGTCAGTCCTCTTAAACAAGGTGTTTCTGCCACACGTTTGGATGCCCACGTCTCCATCTGCCGCGGGAGAAGGGGCTGTTGGTCACAGTGGTGAGCTCATTAAAGCGAGATCAATAGAGATTTAATCTAATGCCGAGGATTACTCGAAGTGGAATGCTCAATTAAGTGTGGAGGAAAAAAATGCTACACATGAAATGAATTGCCAGCTGATTCCCCTGCTTTATTTGGAATTTAGCCCAATATCAGGGAGGGCTGATAAGCTAAAGCAGAGCGGTGAAAAAACAGCTGGTGCCGGGGGCAGTGGTCAGCAAACACCAGTGAAATGTGCCACATCATTACTCACTCACACGTTTTGCAGTGAGCTCCACAGGTACGTAGGGTTTGGCTGGGATTATGTACTTCCAATTTCCACTTTCGTTCACACCAGTGGCTCTAAGAATATTTGAAAGCTTCTAAGGCGAGGATTTGCATAAATAGGATTTGCCACGGCTCTTGGAAAAATGGGAAGAGTTAAGTGAGATGAGTGCTACAAAACTTGTCTTTTCTTGGCAGTTTTTCTGTAATCCGGCCCATTTCTCCCTCCCTGCTCCTCCACCTCCCAAAATCGAAACTGCTGCCGCCTCCCCAGCTCCCTCACCTCTCCGAGCAGCGGCCACACAGGGACAAAGAGCATTCTGTTTTGAATGAAACATTTTATTCTCGAGGCACGAAAACGCAGGAGCAGGCAGGGAGCCAGGAAGCAAGAAAAGAGAAACATATTCGTTAATTAAAACAAGCACTGGTTGCTTTGAACTAAGAAAATCATGTTACAAAAAAAAATGGAGCGATGAGTTCCCGGCCCCTGGAAGAACAGAACATGCTCCAGCCCCAGGAGGGGCAGCGGCACAGGGAGCTGCGTTGCTGCAGGAGCGGGGAGGAGCGCGGGATGCATTCCCCAAACTCACTAATTGGCAGGCGCGGGGCCCCTGCCGCTCCCAGGGAGAATCCATCCGAACACGAACAGCTCTGCGGCCCGTTGGCACAATATCACAGCGATTTCTTCTTCCAGCAAGTCGCATTTAATCTCTGCCCAGACATTTCAAGGCAGAGCTGTCTTATTTCTCCCGTTACGGCAGGACACCTTCCCACGCCATTCCCTGGAGTCAGAGCTTTTGGGAGCGCAGCAGGACGAGGTCCAGCCAGTCACAAACCTCCCTCATGTGTCGTCTTCTTTTTCTCTATGAGCCCACGATTGCCTCTGAGAAGCGCAGCAATTTGCCATCCTGAATATTCCACCCCAGCTCCTACAATCTGCCCTCCCCTTCCTGAGGAGGGAGGTTAAAACACCCCGAGGCTGCACATTGTGAGTGGTGGATGAAGCAGTGCTGCCTCCAAGACTCTCCACATTCCTCTGTGTCCGGGGTGGGAAGGGCCAAGCACAGAGTTATCTTCTGCTGCCTTCTACCACCTAGCCCTGGCCCAGTTCCTTTGCCATTTATCACTTGTTATCGCTATTTATCACTATTATTATAATCTCTATTTATCTATGGTCCAGGGTACACAGCAGGAGTCTTCCTCCCACTCCCCCCGTGCTGTTCTAAAGAGAGGGTGTGCTTTGTAGGGTGGTTCATGATGGAATCATGGGTGGGAAACCACGAGCCGTGGGTGGAAAGCTGGAATGGCACCTGTGGCTGCAGATTCCTCAAAACAACTGACTTTGGTATGTTTTGTTGCAATTCCCCACCAAGTGGGAACAGCAGTTTTGCAGGCCCCCAGCAGCAATCCCTCTGCTCTCTGTTCCTCTGCCTCTGCAAAGTTTTTCCGCATTTTTGACAAAGCTTTTTGAACTCAGAGGAAGAAGAGCTGCACTGGCACTGAGGGGGTTGCATTACCCCATCTGGCTCCAAACTGGGGAAAATGCCTGTGGTATTTGTAGGCTCTCCTGTCATTGCCCTCAGGAGCCTCCCAACTGATCCTGCTGAGAAGAAACTGTGTGTTCTCCTGGGATTATAATGCAGATGATGCTCAGATGGTCACTCCACATCGAGGCCTCTGTAGCAAACTGGAAGAACAGCACAAAAACAGAACTGCTTTAGGATGAAACAGATTCGACAGAAAATTTCTCCAAAATTTTTTCATACGTTTATGCAAGGGCATCCTGCAGGACACCCTGTGGGATGTGGGGTCCAACATCCTGCCTTGTCCTGGCACTGCCAGTGTCGTGGGGCCTGCTGACCCTTTGAGGGAACCAGCAGGGCCAGTGAACCTACCAGAATAATTTCAGTGGCAAAAATCCACACTAATGCTTCTGCTGTCAGCACATTGTCTATAACTTGTAAAGACTGGACTAAGAGCTCCAAAAGAGTGGCATTTGAAATGAAAAAAAAAAAAAGAATCAAAACCCAAAAAAATCCTACATTGAGGAATCTAAGTTCCTTAATCCCATGACCAACACATTCCAGAGGCCAGCAGGTGTGACACTTTCTGTGGCATGAATAGACATGGAAATGGAATTTGGCAGGAGCTACCATGGGGTGCAAGGCAAAAAAGTTTGAGGGGCTTGCTAGTTGAGTGACAGTGACTACAAAACCCAGAATGCTTTAACCTTGTAAAAATACAGCAGATAAATACAAAGCAAACAGTGCTCCCTGGAAAAAAAAGGGTAAATTATGAGGAAAAAACCCAACATGATTTATGTATAGCATTGATCTGTATGCCTGGTATTTTTATAGTCATAAATTCAAGACTTTCTGTAATATTTCGGCAGTGTTTTGTCTTGGGGTTGTTTTGGGGCTGTTATAGACAGAAAGTGCCCAACTTGGGTGACATTTGAAGTGGAAGTGAAGGTTTGCTGCTGCAATTCCACCCCAAACACAGCATCACCTTCCAGTGGCCAAAGGGAATCAGCACTGGCCCCAGTGCCTGCGTGACGTGTCAAATACCAGGATCAGTCTTCATACAGAAATACCACTGTGGCTCAACACTCCCTTGAGCAGCTGAGCAGTATCTAATGCTTCCACTCTCCGTGTCCTTGCTAGAGCCAGCAGCAGGAGAAGCTTTAAGAGATGAAGATAAATTCCCAGATCAGGAGTTTTCAAGGAGAAGAGTTAAGCAGCAGAATTCAACCTGGCTTGGTGCAAATGTGGTGTGTCTGCGCAGCCCTGGGCACCCTGCGTTATCCCCAGTCGTGCAATTCTTTGAAAACAAGCAACTTTTTGCAATTATTTGCTGGCATTCCATGAAAAGCAATGCCCCCTTCAATTCTTCCTTTCTGGGCTTTTTATTGAAACCAGGCAGTCAAAAAAATTCCAGTTCTATTGGAAAAAGAACACGAGGATGGTTTTTGCCTGTGTGGCAATTTTCTTCTTCTTGCTCCCGGCAACAGCCTATTCTTCTGCAGGACTTGAACAATAAAGGTCTCAAACAAAGGCAGGTCTCACAGCTGGGGAAAGGACACTTGAGGTCAGGGTTCCTTCCTTAACCCCCAGTGAAGTCAGTGTCATGGGTTGTGCTGGTCCTGCTTTCCTGGGTGAGACTCTGCAGAGCCTGTGGGAGCTGTTTCACCAAGTCCAGGGGTGAAGGAATTACAAGATCTCCTGCAGGATGGGGTTCACAGTGCTCTCAGACCATTGGGATTCAGCCCCTCATGCTGCAGAGAGGCTGCTTCCACCAAGGCCCATGTCAGCCCTGGGCTGAGAGACTCTCTCCACCACTCTAATCTGACTCCTCTGCTTAAAAGTAATTTTTAAGCCACAATTTTAGACTTCCTGACTGTGTGGGGATTTTTTTAAACAACATTTTCTAAGACAAATCCATCAAATTAGGAAAACTCACACATACAGAAATGCACAAATATATATTCTGTATGCAGTTCTGACCACTCAATAACACTTTTTTTCCCCCCCTTTGGACTCCATATGCCCTCTTTAACATGGAAAACCCATTTGTCTACCTCACTGGATACTGAGTGGATAAATACATTAACTGCTTTGCAGCACGTTGGCCTGGTTTATTCCTAGTCAGGAACATCAGCGATATCCGCACCTCAGCCAGACTCTGGGAAATCAGTGAACCACGTAAACCACAACACCGTGGGGAGACTGAAGTGAGCTAATGCTCAGCTCATACAAACCACGTGGTTATTGAAACACAGGAAAAGAAATTGATGACAGAGCTGGGTAAAACTGGCATAATTCAGTGTATTTGTGGAGTTAAAACTCCTTTTTTCCATGGCAAGGTGAGACACAAATGGCAGGCTGTCATCTCTCTCTCTGTTTTTATTTCCTCCCTGTCACTCAGTGCCAAAATGCCCTTTTTGCTGGAAATTCTGTCTGGTCCATCCCAAAGGCGGTGCCTGGTGCCTCCTCTTGCTGCTCTGGAGCCTTCCTGCCTCCCTTTCACAGGCACAGACATTTTCATGAAATAGTAGTGAAAAGAACCCCCAAAACAGCCACCACAACCAGAGACATCTCCTTCTGCTGTGTAACTTGGGAGGGACTTCACACTCTCAAACTATCATTTCAGTACCTGGAATCTTCCAGGGTGGGAGTTCAGCAAAAGCCAAAGGCATTTCTCCTTGCAAACAGCATTGCAAGGCACTTCTCTCTGCCTCCCTATTTACAGTAGAGCTCCCACTTTCTCTTTCTTACTATGTTCTTTTTACCCCCTTTTGAACTCATGTGGCAACACACATCTTCCCCAGTGGTGGCTTAGTAATGGGTTTGGCTTTTTGCTTTTGAGTGGTTGGGTTTGTTGAGCTAAAATACCCATTGTTTTCACTTCCCAGTGCATATTCTTTTAGAACCAATTCATAAAATCATCATAGAATGATTTGGGTTGGAAGGAACCTCAAGACCATCTTGTTTCAATCCCCTGCCATGGGCAGGGACACCTTCCACTATCCCAGGTTGCTCCAAGCCCCATCCAACCTGGCCTTGAACACTTCCAGGGATGGGGCAGCCACAGCTTCTCTGGGCAACCTGTGCCAGGGCCTCACCACCCTCTTAGTAAAGAAATTCTCTTTCACACCTAATCTAAATCTCTCCTCTTTCAGTTTAAAACCACTCCCTCTTGCCCTGTCACTCCATGCCCTTGTCCAAAATCCCTCTCCAGCTTTTTCAGGTACTGGAAGGGTCAATAAGGCCTCCCCAGAGCCTTCTCTTCTCCAGGCTGAGCAACCTCAACTCTCTCCACAGATACAAAACTTGTCCCTTTAAAACAGCAATGTCAGAGGGTTTGTTTAGGAGCTGAGAGGTGTTTGGCTGCTTCAATTCTGTCATTTTGTAAGATCACATGATTCAGATGTGCACTGGAGCAGATTCTTGTGGATTCATATGGCATCAGCTTACTCTGAAATCTGGCTGTTGATGACCACAGGGGAGTTTTTGGCTGAAGGAATAGCCCAACATTAGGCATCACTTTAGCTGCGGGTGGCTGTGCCATAATTTATAGATAAAACCCTGGATGCTTTCAGCTTGCACTTAAAGGGCCTCATGTCAGGTAACAGGAGTCCAAAACAGTAGAAAAATGACGGATTTTAGGTCTTTATTGTGAGAAGAATTCTTACCCCCATCTGCAAGTGTACAAGCATGCAGGTAAGTGTTTATGCTATCGAAGTCAAGTGGAAAATCCCTCTGGGATGGGAGGAAAAAAGACTCCTTTATGCCCATACAGCAAGAAATCTCAATGCTCTTGTCATCAAGAGAGTGGGTCTGGAGCACGATCCTGCAGTTCAGGATGGAGGGATATGGAGATGCCCTGTCTTTGCCCCTGGAAAAGAGGCGGGCTGGGCTCCTGACCTGCAGCACTATTTGATATTAACACCCATTTTGTGGTAGCAAAGCCACCTACAAGCACTGGAATAGCTCCATCCCAGCTTGGGACTTCCTCTTCACCCTTTATACTTGTGTACAGCTGGGGGCCAAACTGGAAGCATCCCATTCCCAGTGAATTGCTATCACAAAATTATGTGTATTTTTCTTCTGCTATGTTCCCAATTGGGATGTTTTGGTTTCTTTCCTAGTTCAGAATCTTTAACATATTTTAACTTTTGTGACAGAAAGGAGTTTGCTATTGCCATTACATCAAACATCAAGTCAGCACCTGGTGGGTTTGGCTCGCATTAGTACCTTCTGGTGACTCGACCGTGTGAAGAATGGAATAGAAATACCGAGTCCCCGAACACAAAACCCTCCCTGCCTGCAAGGACGGTTCCCCCAGTGCCTCTTTTTGATGGCCATAACCCCTGAGCAGGTGGTAGCTGAGAGGACAAGCACAGTTTTTCTGTACAAAACAGAATGGGAAGTGTAGTCACTGATGCTGGTTGGGGGCTGCCTGGTACTCTTCAATTTTTTAATAACCTTCTCAACTGGAGAGCCAGCTTCCCCTTTGATGTGGTGCTGGTTTCATTAGTACTTGCTCAAGGTGAATACCTGATTAGCCACGGGGAGCTGAAAGGGTCTTTCTTCTCCTTTTTATTTCTACTTTCATAATACTTACTACAGAGAAAGAGCCCCCATGCCCTTCCCGAGTTAGAAATAAAAAAAAAAAAAGTGGTATTGGGCCAAAATAAGTGAGTTTGGACATGTTTGGCAGTTCAAACGGATTAAATCTCACAGCCACAGCTGAGCTTTTTCTGTGAGTTATTTCCCCTCTGCACTTCATGGTGTTTTCAGTCTTTTGGGGCTCTTTCCTCTCTCTCAAATCCAGGGCAGCTGCAGAAGGGCTGGGAACAAGGATTTCATTGCCCCTCATCACAGTGGGTCTTCTGCAGGAGGACCATGAGGGATTTGTGAGCACAGGTCTTACTGGGGATCTGTTTCCTACACCTGCAGGAACAGAGCTCTGCAGATGGATGAGTTTCAGCAAGGTCAAGGCTCTTCTTCCAGTTTTCTGCTGAAATAGACCTGTCAACCTGCTGGGAAATGGTCCTTCTGAAATGCCAGATAGATCCTAAGTGTCTTTTTATCCCTTCTTTCCCCAGGAAAGCACTGCAATAAGAGACAGATTATCCAGTCTCATATGTGGGTTCAAGAAGAGGGCTGCAGTTTGGGGGGAAAAAGGTAAGAAAGCTTTGGTTACCAGAGAACTCCTGAGAAATAAAGTCATCTGACCACTTGCAAAGACTTCACAGATTTCTATCTTTGATTTCCTTCATGATTTTGAAGACAGAAGACACAGTAACAAGTACTTGGAGGCTTCTCAGAGATGCTACAAGCTGTTGACTGAATTTCAGGCCAGTTTAGACATCACTCCTGCTCTCTTTCCAGAGCCCATCAATTTGTCATTCTAGATAAGCTCAATTATTGGTGCAAAGGGAAAGAAACTACTTTCTCCTTCTTTGGAATCATAATATAACTGTAACAGCAAGCACTTAAAAAGCTGTTTTGCACTGGAGGTGCCAATATGCTCTGTGAAATACTGTATTGCAGCCAAGGCAATGGACACATCGGAAGGTAGTGACTTGCCTGTTGCAAGAGGAGGATATGGGTCCCCTGAGGGGGATGTAGTGGCATAGCTAAAGTCAGCTTTGCATAAAACCTTCAGCCTTTTCCACAATATTTTGCCATTTCACAGTAAGTCTAATTTTGAACTTATTTTTCCCATTCTCCTGCTAGCATGCCAGGACTCCAGGACCCAAAATTCACATCTACTGGCTCGAGCCTGGGGTTCATAGCTCATGAGGCTCCATCCAAAAGCAGAGAGCCTTTGAACACTGTTCCCCAAGTGTATCTTGCAGGGACCAGCCTTTCCCAGCACCCTGCTGAGTCTTCTGCCTGTGACAGACAATGCTGCATCATTCCAGAAAATGGTGTGGAACACCACTTGTATAATCAAATATCACCAGTGTCCTTACCAGCATCTTGCAGACTCAGAGGTTTTTTTAAAGGCAGGAAGAACCACCAGCTCGATTCTGACAGCACACAGCACAGTCTCCTCCTCTAGCCCTGCTCTCAACCCAGTGACCTGGTGCTTCCTCCACAAAGCCCACAGGCACAGGCACCACGTCACCCCTTGTTCTTCTTTGGATAAACCCAACAGACAGAGCTCCTACATCTGGCTACGAAATACTTTTGGTAGTCCTGGGGTTGTCTCCAGCTTCTCCCTCCCACCAACACCAGCTCAGCCCACCCTCCAACATTTTCTAAACCTGAACACACAATGGGATTGCAGCGCTTCATCCACCAAAGGCCAAAATTGCCCCCCAGGCTGCCCCCCAGCTTGCCCTGGCAGTGTGGGGACAGCACAGCTTTGCATCCCTCCACTTTAAGGTAGATTTTATTTGCTCAAATCAGTTTATTAAGTCGTGAGTCTTGCAGTGAGTGACATTCTCCCTTTTTAGCAGGATAGGATTTTAATGGAAATTGCCCTCTCACATCACTGTGAAATCAAGGTGGTTGGTCAGCTGGTAAAATCCTCTTATAGAAAGCCCAGCTTTCATTCTTTTTATGCTGCTTCAGTCCTGGGAAATTATCCCTTTGGAGCTACCCAATATATTCATTACTGTGCTGGTCCATCCTCTATCCTCTCTCCTGCCTCTATTGAATCCGAGTTCCAGCCATATGCTCCTCAGACACTGTCAGCTTCCAACACACAGACCAATCTGTCAGGATGGAATCTGAAATACTGTTATCTCGTGTTGGGTGTAATATCTCCTGGGCTAGAAAATGATCACACATCATTTGAGAAACTTCAAAGAGATTTATTTCTGGTTATATGAGACTCCCAGCATACATCTTTATGATTGAAGTCTCCCATTACCCGGTATTTCTTTCCATTTATTACGGATAAAAGCTCCAGAAGCAGCTCACCTCTTAATGTGAACTCGTGGTCTGTAATCCCCTTTACAGGCACCACACACTCACCTCTCTCTATACCTCCCAACTTCTATAGTCAGAGCTTTAATATCTCTGTATTTAACAGCTAAACGGGTCACGGTCTCTTTTCCCCTCTGCCTTTTCTCTTGGGCACACACTGCTGTTCACACACACGTTGTACTCAGCAGTTTAAATGCTTCAGTCATACAAATCAGCCTCCCCTCACTCCATTTTGGCAACTGTATCAGATTTCTTTTAGTTAACAAACATTTTCAATTCCTGCCATTGTCAGAAGCATGAAGAATGAAGGAGGAAAGTGTTCATACAGCCACCGGAAATTAAACAATTTGCTTGGGCCTGTGATCTGCCTCGATGGATAAAACAAATCTGCCAGTGGCATTTTGGAAGGTGCTCTTAGGCAAACCACTGCCTCTGCCCTGCTACACCAGGCAGCGTGATGGAGGAGTGCTATTAAACATTGTCAGTCAGACATCTGAGGAGTAATAAATAAAATTCATGGAAGAAATAGGATAAAAGCAGAGGGCTGCAGGGGACTCTGCAGCATCTGCAGAAGATGTTCAAAGCCAACCTTGCAGCTCCTGCTCGGAGGAAAGCCCTTTGCCTTTGTTTGGGCCTCGGCAGGAAGGGATGTTTACAGGTTGTGTCTTTTAAAGTACACCAGGACTGAGTCAGAGCGTGTGTTTACATTGGGTTGTTGGGTGTTTTAAATATCAGCACCAAGTCCCAAGAATAAATTACTATGGTAGGAAAATAAGGTAATGTCATTTTGTACTGAAGCAACAAATTTTAGTGCTGCAAAGCTAGTGGGTAACAGGGCAAGGCTGTGCCTGGTGATACACCTGGTGCAGTGGTGTTTGCTCACAAAGCTGAGCACTGGCAGGTCCATGGGATTTAGAGGAGGAAAGACACATGTGGTGGAACAAAACGCCACCTTATTAATGACAGCTTTTTGGTCCAGGCAGATGTAAACAGGCCAGGGAGGAGGCATAGCAGTAATTGCTCCAGGAATAGGAGGCAGCCATTCCTAAAATAACCAAAACTTCCTCAAAGTCTCTGAAAACACTCTTCATAACCACAGCAAGAAGAGGCTGGGACCAGTTCAAACCAGCACTGCACCATGTACTGGGATTCCTCTCTGTGGTGGGGAGTGGTTCCCCCTTGGCAGAAAAAAACATTGACCAACCCAGGAAGAGTTAAAATCTCACTGCAGTTCACAGAATCATGAAACAGGCTGGGTTGGAAGGGACTTTTAAAGTTCATCCAGTTCAACCCCTCCGACGGATTAGTTGGAATGGGGGAGACCTCCAGGCTTTAGGCTGCTAGCCCATTACCTGCGAGGTGAATGCCCTTCCCCCCGCCCCAGCACGTGGCCCTGCGACCCCGCAAGGAGCACACAGACCACCAGGGAGGGACGGACGAAAGAGGAAGTTTATTGTGGGGTAGGGGTTTATAAGGCTTTCAGGAGGGTCAAAAGGGGACCAATCACAAGTTCAGGGTCACATAGAAAAAACCATCAGGTGAAGGGTCAACAGCCAATAGAAAGGGGTTAACAAAGGCCAATGGGAAAACATCTCAGGACACCTTCCCAGGACACCTTGTGTGGGAGCACAGGGGATGTTGGGAAGAAGATCAGTGACTCTGCAAAAAGGTAAAAGCCATTTTAAAACCTGTTTAAACCACCTTAAAAACTTCGGTTTCTGTAACATTTGAACTGCTCTCATTTTCTTCACTAGTCCATCTCTGACAGGACTTCTTCCATCCTGCATATGGCAAATCCATTGCCACAAACCCCCCTGCAAAGAGCAGGGACATCAACTAGATCAGGTTGCTCAGAGCCCTGTCCAACCTGGCCTTGAACATTTCCAGGGATGGGACACCCACAACCTCTATGGGAAACATGTTCTTGTGCTTCGCCTCCTTCTGAGTAAAGAATTTCTTCCTAATATTTAATACCTATCTAATATCTTCATTTTTTCCAGCCAGCTTCTAAGAGCCTGGGCTCAACTCCAAAGAAATTGGTCTCGATTTAGTGAAGAGGCTTGGATGTGTGTGAAACCCAAATGAATGGGCAGCAGGACCAGGAAAGAGAGTTGAAGGTGAGATCTTTAAATAAGGTGTCCCTCCCAGTGTTTTCATGGGGAGGGCCTCTTGTGCTGTTCAAAATTATTTCCTTCTGTTAGGTTTGGTTTATTCTGTATTTTTATACACCGCTGATATGGTGGAGCCCTGCCAAAAATGGATGTTAAAATGCCAAAAGGAGGAGAGGCTCTGCTGAAACCTTTCTGAGTCAGTAGGAGCCAGGAAGCAGGGAAGCCACAGGCACTTCTGTTCGTGCACAAATTCCAGCCCCAAAGTGCAGGCTCTGGAAGCTGGATTTTACCTAATCATCTGCATTAGACCCATAATGATCTGTCACAATTTTAAGCAGGTGCACTTTTACCAAGACTACAAATTGCCCTGAGATATCCACAGCCCAAAATCCTAAGAGAGTCCAAATCCCTCTGTGAGGCAATAACACATTCAGTATGAATTTCACACAGAAGACCTTTTTTTATTTGTTTTTAACATGAATACTGTCCTTGGCATCCTATAAGACATGCTACATTCCCAGGGGCATAAATGGAGGTTTGTTGCAGCTTTGACTGGTCTCTTGTCAGACATACAACACCTAATTCACTGCAGTGTTTCTACTTGTCCCACTCTGGTTGGATGTACACACTCCCAACCATTCCACTACTCCTTCTAGCTGGGAGGGTTCATATCTTCTTTGATTCCTTCATCTCCTGAAAAGGAAAGGAAAAGGGGACAGTGATGGAGATTGATCGGTGTGTGGCTCAGCCCCAAAGTTGGGGCAAGGTATCTCGAGGGACCTTTCCATTTGTACAGAGTGGAATAGTGGTGTTTGTCCACAGGGAGCATCCAGTCTCTCTCCCTGGGTGTTCCTCTCATCTCAACCTGCAAATCGCCTGTAGGTGCCAAATCTGGATTTGGTTTATGATTTGCTCTTTTAGTCAGGGGAGAGAAGCAGGTTCAGGAAGAATGTGGTTCATCTCAGCTTAAATTTTGGGTCTGAACCTGCTTGGGTGAACTGCCCACGGGATGAGTCTCTGCCATCATTAGTGGAAAGGGTTGTCCAGCTGCTCGGATGGAGCTGTGCTTGTAGGGCCCCACTTTTAGGTTCAGTATGAGGAAAAATGTGGAGACCTTCTGGCCTCTGATCATCCTTGCTGAGCTGAGAAAGAAAGACTCTCAGGCACAGCGTGTAAAACACTTCCCTTCCCACAGCCTTTTCCTCTCTGGTTGGTGAGAAGATGACATTTCCATTCACACAGCATTCAGCACAAGGCACCCCCATTCCCATTTCATCCTTGGGCGCCGCTCTAGGAAAAATAATAAACAGCTGAGTGTGATGGTGGGGTTTGGGAACAGTTCCAGCTCACAGTTAAAGGACAGGCCCCATTATTTCTTGATGAATAACAGCATTTACAGAAGGCCTTTCACCCCGAGGTGCTTCAGAAACTATAAACATACATCACCACATCACAGAACGGGCAAAACAGCCAACTTCAAAGTTACAGCTGGGAAAATCCCACAGGCAGCCCAGTGCAGGGAGCGACTCACCTGTCAGATATCAAAAAGCAAGGCAGTCCTACACACAGGGAGGGGCTGCTGCTAGACTTAGGCATGTCCAAGCTGCAAAGTAGACCATGGGATTGTCCTTCTCCTCTCTGGAAATTATCTGTATGGTCTTTAAATGTCTGTGTTTAAACAATGCTACTGCCAAAGCTGAAACCATCTGTGTTTTATTGTGTTCCAACATGTTTGTAAGGTCCATGTGATTGTTCACCTTTATTTCCTCTCCAAACAAGGGTTCCTCTCCGTTTCCTTCACACGTGCCCGTGCCAGCCACAAACGAGTGCTGGTTGATACAACACTACACCAGTGCAAAGACCCAAAGAAGCAACTAAAAAGATGCATAAAAGACGTATAAAAACGACAGCTAAAGGGGCCTTGAAAAAGCTGATTCAGGAGTTTTTAGTGTCGGGAAAACTCAGCTGCCGAGATTTGGTTTCACAACTTTGAAAACGTCAGAGAGTGAAAGAGCCCGAAGCTGAGTGTGGAGGTGAGAAGTGTGCCCTGAAGGTGGGTCTGGAAGGATCTGGAGCCCCCTGTCCTGAGGGTTCAGCACCTTCCCTCTGACAGCAAATGTGGGATCAAAACAGGACCATGCCATGCACAGGCTGCATCGTGGACATTTCTCAGCATCACTGACCACCTGGGTGATTTTACCCCCACCTTCAGGAGCCTGGATAGGGATCACCAAATGGAACCTCATGCTCCAATTAAGTGACACTTTTACAGAGGAATCACAGGACATAAAGTGTGTAAAAAGCCCAAGGGTTCAGAGACAAATTTCAGCATCTGACTGTCATCCTTGGTTTGCATTCACCAGTTTATACTGGGACTTTCTGCTTTCTAGAAGGTTCCCTGCCTGCCCCAGTGAAGGGGCTTCAGTGCTGGTGGTGAGCATGGAGGCTTTGCAGCCAGGACTTTTCTCCTGGTTTAGGTAGCACAATGCAGGTTCATTCATTCCTTGCTGGAACAGACTGAATCAGCAGACAGACAAGGCAGTAGAAGGACATCATTACAGTCAGGGGTGAGCAGGGAATGGTAAATTTAATATCAGATGTAATTGTCCAAAGAAAAATGCAGATGATGCAAAAAGAAAAGCTTCTCAACAGTGTAATTTAAGGCACTAAAAAATAAGCACAAAAACTAAATACAGGAATCCCCAAATTAGAGACATCTAGAAACCATCTGAACACTTTCTTCCTCACTCCAGTTTCCCCAGTGCTCTGACTACCACAGATAGTTCTGCAAGGCCAGGTTTGGTTTCAGAGTGATTAATGATTAGCAGCAGCCACAATTTTTTTCAATCCTTTCTGAAGATCAGGGGAGGGGAAAAAATCCAGCTCAGTCAGAATTTCTGCCTCATGTTCCGTGCTCTCAGCAGGGCTGGGCTCTTGGAACACCAGTGGGAGCTACAGGAGCAGAGAGTATTACCAGGAGAGGATTTGCTCCATCTCACAAGTGACCCACCCCTTCAGAGCTGATCTTCCTTTTCTTTTCTGCTATTTATATGAATAAACTCCTCCCCAAACAGTTTGCTGAGTGATAAGAACTCGGATCATCCATTACCCGCCTCATGTCGGGCGGCTGCCGCGGTGGGAATGAGATTTGCATGTGGTCAAGCACATGGTCCTGCAATCACAGCCTCCCCTAATTGCACATTAGCATGAATTAAAGCCTGGCTGCAGGGATGTTGCTTCCCTGTTTCGTCCCTGCAACGGTTTCTGTTGTGGCAGTTGCTGCTGAAAAATCCCCACTTTGGCGATCAAACCAAACCTGAAAGTGTCGTTGGGCTGCACCACAAACGAGTCCATTTTAGGCAGCAGATACAGTTTCCAGTGGAACAGCGTTGCCCTTGCTGAGTTACCTCCCTCTGCCAGTGCTTCCTGTTTTTTCATTGTCCTTGAAGCTTTACATTTATTTGTAAGCGTTAAATCAGAATTTAGTTACACTAAGAAACATTGGAATTATAAATAATCTAATCCTAATACATGTACAGAAATGAATAGGTATGGAATACTGAAAAGGTATCACTGGAGTCTGTCCTTTTAAACAGGCAGTGTAGAAGACATGATTATACATTCTTGTGCCAAAGTGTGAGAACATATCATGCCTAGACATTATCTCATTAACATCCTGTTCATTCTCAAATCTAAATCCAGATAACAATTGTTTCATTTTGTGTATATATATAATTTGTGGGTTGTCTGCCTTTTGGTGAATTCAAGACATCCAAGGCTAATGCAAATACATGAATTTCATTCCCACAGCAGACCAGCATCTTCCACACATCCCTTCTTTGAGGTTAAAAGGTGTATTTGAAAAGGACTTTTTTTTTTTTTTAATTACCCTCTTTGCATCCAGGGAAATGACTGAATTGGTACTGACCATACCATTTACAGGTCACTAAAGTATGTACCATGACCTAAACCCCATTCCATCCATTCCTAACAGGGCAAATACATTCGGAGCATATTGTGCAGATGCTGCTGTAGCTGGAGAAAGGAAAGACAGTCTGATTAACCTCATTCCCTGATAAAAATCACACCAAACACTCTGAGAGAAGAGGATAAACATCCTGCCTCAAAGTCTCATTTTACCCACGTTGCCCTCCAAGTGCTTGAGAAGCCACAGAGGGACTGCACTTTGTCGATATCCCAATGGAAGGCTGAGGTTACCTCCAACACACCAGAAACTTTTTTGAACACCTTCAGCTTACAAATCCTTTATGGAATCACAAACAAGAGATTCTCTGGTTTCAAAGGGGTGGCAAAAAAGCAGACTCTCCTCCAGGACATGGCTCAGTGGATCGTATAACCACCTTCCAAAGAGAGAGCCCGAAACACCAGCACCATCTGTAGCAGCTTTTCACCTTGCCAAGAGCAAGGCTGGGGGGGCAAAGATAGTTTAGGTAGTGCTGTGCTGGTGTGCCCACCTTGCTGCTGATACCCAAACGTGGCAGCTGAACACTGTATCTCCCGTTACCCCATTTTTAATGCAGCTCGGGGGAGTTTTGTGTTAGATTTCCAGTCCGGCTGATGAGGGAATTGATGCTGGGCTTCTGTAAGAAATGTGTCTTGTAACAGTACAGCGCGTTGATGAAGTAACCAAAACAATGTAAAACCACTGTGAAACATATTAAATGGATTAAGAGTTGGCTAACTTCAGGTCTTAAATACAATTATAACCAGAGAAATTTTCTTTGAGTGGGTGTGTGTTTGGACAGATCCCGCAGGGACTGGTTCTTGGCTCTACACTATTGTATTTTATCAACAACTTAGGAAAAAACCTTTAAATCATTATCAACAGATTTTTCAGATGCAAAAGGCTGGGAAAATGGTCAAAAGAAGGAAATCAGGTCACTGATACAAATAGGTAATTGGCAATCTGAAGGTAAGCAAGTGCAACCAAGTCACAAGATCGAAGAAAGAAGAATTTTGCCTGGTGGGGGC